TGATTGTTTCTCAATGTCGCCTTTCTGGTTAAGACATGTATTTACAGACTTAACTAACAGCATAAGTCAAATCAAGACGAGTACATACAATTGCATACATCAGGCAGCCAACTGCACTGACATATAGAACCTTTGTCATGTCTTTGATTTTTGTATCTGTCTTAGGATGTTGTTCTGACGAAAGCTTAAAATGATTTGCCAAAAGAGTGCTTACAGGTTTTGCTTTGTTCATCTCCAACTTGTCTAGCATTTTCTCAACATAGTCTCGTTGAGAAAAACATAATCATCTTGAGTCTCTATCTCGATGAATCTTCATTCCAAGGATCTTCTTCGTGGGACCCAAGTCTTTCATGTCAAATTTCTGACTCAATAAAGCTTTCAAACTACAGACATCATTCATATTATTTGCAGCAATTAGTATATCATCAACATACAGTACAGAAAAATAATAGAACGATCATTAAGACTTGTCATATAAACACAATAATCATACTCACATCTCTTGTGGTCAATCTGAATCATGTAGAAGTTAAACCGCTTGTACCATTGTCTTAGAGATTGTTTCAACTCATACAACAATTTCTTTAACCTGCAAACCTCCTATCCAGGTTGAGTGAACCCTTATGGCTGCTCCAAATAAATTTGCTCCTTCAGATCACCATGCAAGAAAACAGTTTTAACATTCATCTGCTCCAAATGTAAATCCCAAATGACTACTAATGCAAGCACTGCCCTGATTGAAGTATGTCTGATCATAGGAGAAAAGATTTCATCATAATCTATCACATTCTGCTGTGAAAATCTCTTTGCTACCAGTCGAGCCTTGAATTTTTCCCCTTCTTTTTCTGATTCTGTTGGTTTACTTTTGTACACCCATTTGCAACCAATAGTCTTCTTTCCCTCAGAAAATTGAACTAGCTCACATGTGTGATTTTTCTTCAAAGACTCAATCTCAACTATTGCACCCATCTATTTCTCTTTCTTCTGGCTTGTAATAGCTCCTTGAAAAATTGTTGAATTATCGTTGCTGATGAGAAGTGCACAAGAGACCAAGTCTTCATAACCCAATTTGCTATGAGACCTTATATTGGGGTGTCTCTGGTTAGATTATAATTTTGCAGATCATCTGTAATTGAATCACAAGGTGTTGAATTTGAATTTTCAACACTCTCAGTTGTTTCTGGATATTGTTCTAAATCCATCTGCGCTGCATCGGAACAGGAACTGTTTCATTGTACCTTGTATTGATTCTACTGTAACATGAATTATTCATCAAAAACTGCATCTCTACTGATCATTATCTTATTTGCAATCGGATCCCAAAACTTGTATCATTTCACATCTTTCTTTTAGCCCAAAAAGATGCACTTCTTGGATTTTGCATCAAGTTTTGATATTTCATCTCCAAGTACATGCACATAAGCAGGACAACCGAAAATTCGTAAATGATCGAAATTAACTGGATTTTCTATCCATACCTCTTTTGCAACATTGTCACCCAACGATGTTCGAGGTGACCTATTTATGAGATAACATGTCATATTCACAGTCTCTGCCCAGAAACTCTTAGGAAATTCTACATTCAGTCTCAAGCATTTTGTCCTTTCAGTTAAGAACATGTTCATCCTTTTTGTCATACCATTCTGCTGTGGTGTCTTGCGCACTGAAAAATGTCTCTGAATCTCATGCTCCTCACAGAACTTCTGAAACTGCGAATTTGTGTACTCATTGTCATTATCAGATCTCAAATATTTGATATTTCTGCAAGTTTGGTTTTCCACCTCAGCTTTCCGCAGCTTGAATTTAGAGAAGACTTCAGATTTCTGCTTCAAGAAATACACCCAAACTTTCCTGAAAAAATCATCAATAAAATTAACAAAGTACTGGGATCCTCTCAATGACGATTCCATGGTACGATTTCATACATCAGAATGCACATAATCAAGAATCTCTTCAGTTTTGTGTTTTCAAGTCATAAAATTGACTCTAGTTTATTTTCTAATAATACAGAACTTACAAAGATCGAGCTTGCAGTTTTTAACACCATGCAATAGGTTTCTTCTATACAATTTTGTCATCCCACGTTCACTGAGATTTCACTGAGATAACCTAGACGCATATGTCATAGTTTTGTTTTGTCATCATCTGACTCCACAGAATGGACTTTCCTACAACTGTATTGCCCAACAGTTTGTAGATATTGTCTGCAGTTAACTTTCTTTTCATCACCGTTGGTGCACTCTTAATAATTTTGATGATTTTTCTATCCTCATCTGTCTTATAAATGAAACTATTTTTATGTAAAGTGCCCAAGAAAATCAAATTATTCTTTAAATCTGAAATATATCTAACATCACATAACATTCTAATTGTGTCATCATACATTTTAATCTTGACTTCTTCAATACCAACAATATTGTAACATCTATCATCACCTAGATAAACTGAGCCAAAATTAGTTGACTTGTATGAAATAAATCACTCCATATTATGTGTTATGTGATAAGAGTATCTTGAATCAAGAATACATGCATCCGCGAACTAAGTTGATAAAACTGAAAGCATATCATCATCATTGCAATCTAAATTGTCAACCTGCACCACATTTACAGACTTCGATGATGCATCACATTTCTCCCCAGTCTGCTTCTTCAGTTTTGGACAATCTCTTTTCATATGACCTTTTCATATGACCTGGCTCCTTTTCATATGACCTGGCTCCTTACAATTGTAACAATGAATTGTCTTTTTGGCTTTCAACTTGGATCAAGAATTTCGCCTTCTAAAACTCTCCTTTTTCTTCCTTCCACGATCTTGCTTACTCTTAACATATAAACTGTCGTCATGAAAGTTTTCCCCTGCATTCTGCTTCTGCCAGTCGTGAGCCAACAATGTTGCAGTGATCTCATCAACTTTGACAGTTTATTTCTCATACGTAAGAGTAATTACCAAGTGTTCATAGGAAGAAGGCAGTGAACACAACAAAATCATTTTTCGGTCTTCATCCTCAATAATCACATCAAGCCGTGATAAATTTGTGATTATTTGATTGAAGCAATTAACATGCTGCGTCAGATCAGAACCTTCTTGCATTTTAAACTCATACAGCTTTTGCTTTAAATACAATTTATTCGTCAGAGATTTAGAAATAAATTGAGTTTCCAATTTCTTTCATATCTCCCCTGGAGATTTTAGATTCATCATGTGATACATAACTTCATTTGTCAGGCATAGGCGTATAATTGTTGTCGCTCGTTGTTGCAATTCTTCTCAATCTTCATCCTCCATGGCATCTGGTTTAGCTGCCCGCAAAGCTTTCAAGATTTTCTGTTGAGCCAACAGATCTTTTACTTTTGTTTGTCACAATCCAAAATTACTAGTTCCATCGAACTTCACCACCTCGAATTTTGCACCAGAAGTTGTCATTTGAAATTGATCATTTCTTCAGTTTCCGCACTAGGCAATTTTTCCGCTTCAGCAAAGCAATATTCCGGCTCCAGAAACCACAACAAGGAAACAAATCTCCTCTCGATATATTTCGCCTCAGGAAATCGGGAATTCGGAACCTCTCGATATCTTCCGCACTGAATTTTCTTTTAAAACTCCTTCATTCGGGTCAGGAGAAAATTTAGTTTCTAGCAAAGGAAATCGAAGCTCAGCAAATTTCCTACCTTTTTTCGCGTTCGCCTACAGCAAACTTCCTGATTCTTCCAATTCTGCTCCCAACAGCTCCGTCGGACTGCCCGCTGCTCCAACTTGTCGTGAGCCGCCTGTGGAAGAAGCCTCGTCAAAAGCTTCGCGATTCACGAACTCTTCCTCCCGCCGAACTCGGCGAAGAATCCCAAATGCCTCTGTTGCGCGATGCGACCGTCGCGAGCCCTCTGCGTCGCTAAAGTCGGAGGGAATTTTCTCGTCAACCTAAGGATAAATTATTGTCCGCCCACCGCACGCAGAGATGCATGCGGTGGGCCAATAAAAACTCTCCCTTTACCAAAAACAAAAAGTGTATGTCAGTTGGCCCACTTTTATTTTTTTTTATATAAAAAAAATAAAATTTCATTGGACGGTGCGTGTGCCGTCCGCACGCAATAATCTCCAACCCGAGGCCGCCTAACCGCGAACCCTCCTGAAATTCGTGATAACCCCCCTTCGCAAATTGTTTTGCTGCCGCAGAGCCTCCTTGGCGAACTGTTCCTGGGGACGATCTGCTTCGCGAGAGCTCTTCTAGGGCGATGCGAGACCGAACGATCTCTCGTCGATCCTCGTCGCACGTGAAGAGCCGCAAATCTCGGTTGCGAATCTCCAAATTCTCTTCTCTGAACCTTGCGTCGCCGAAGCTTTCTCGCAAGCCGCAGAACTTTCTGTGTCGATCTGCTCTGAGACCGGGCCGCCAAATATTCTTCTTGCGCCTCCTAAATTTTTTCCCTGCCCTCAAACTTGCTCTGATACCACTTATTGAGTAATTAGGACAAAGAAAAACAAGAATTGACACAAAAATAAAAGAACGTCAAAATTTAACGAGATTCGGCAAAAATGTTTATGTTCTCAAGAGCAGAGCGGCGGCTTTTCTTTCAATATTTAGAAAAGAGTTACAGAATTCAGGGATACCTCCTGATGTTACAAGCATGTCTATTTATAACTTCGGGAGTAAACCCTAAATATAGTATATAATTACAACATAAAGAAACTCCCATGATTTGGACAGAATCTTCCGCTCCACTCCACTTCGATCCAACGTCTATCCCAATATGATATATGAGTCATACCATAACACACCTAAACTTTACCTTTTGCAGTTATATCACTCAAATCTTTCATATCTCAAAAAAAAGACCACTATCCACTATTTTAACTTCTAAAAATTAAAATACACTTTCGTATGCATAGTTAAGTTGGCATATATCAAAAAATTGTAGTTTAGGTGTTAGATATGTAAATACATAGGAATTAAGTGGTGTGTATGTAAATCTTCCTTCAGAAAAAGAAAGCAAATAACCAACCTTGTGCTTGTAAGACCTGCGTTCTACCAGATAAATCCTCTGGATCCCATATGAATCTGCCAGCATATGAGTTAAATAACCTCGCCCGGCTCCAAACTCGACCACTGCTGGTAATTCGCCTTTCTTCCGAACAAAGTCATATATTTCATCTTCCTCAAGCACAGAGCCTAAAATCTCATCTTTGGACATGAATAATATCCCAAATTTCTCCATGTTGCCAATAATCGAAGCCTGCTGCATGACATGCCGCTCCTGATATGGAATTTTGCTGTCAAAATAGCAGCAAATCATCACTTTAGAACTTTAACCACTTCGCATTCAATTACTGCAACTACTTAGACCAAGCTGCAACAATGTAATTTGATCTTCCCACCTGTCGATTTGCCTCCGCAACCATTTCTCACAGGCCTCCGGCATCAGGTAAGAGTCCTCCAAATGTCCGACTACAGCAGAGTGTAATGATTCTATCTTTTTAACTAAAGCGAAGAAATCAGATGAGTTAAGGCCATAGATGGCCCTCCTTTTGGACTCGGTGCTGATGTCATCATCTGCAGAATCAATGAATCCGCTGTTGATTCCTTTTGAGTAGTACGCCTGGGATTCTAGTGCTATAGCCCGCTTCTTCAGAGGACACCTCTTGAGGTGGGACTCAAGGTTTTCTTTAGATACCGAGCTGTGAACAGATAAGAACAGGTCAACAATAAAGCGAAGAGAGTAGGTGGAAAGAATGGAAGTGAAGAGAGGAATGTACTGCGAAGGATCGAGGGGGCAAGGGAGGCGGCGATCACCGGCGGAGGAATCGTGGTTGCCGCAAAACCTGGAGATCGAGTGAGAAGCGATTAGTGGAGTTGAGAGGCGGCTGAAAGGAAACGCTGAGAATCAGAAGTAGAAACATGTGAATTAGGGTTTTACGGGGAGGAATGAACAGGGATGTTAGCGCAGTAGCGGCGCTTATTTGGAAGCCAAAACTTGCAACGCTTCTCCTTCACAGCATTTTCAAGCCCATTTCCTGCCTCTTCTCCGACGACGTACGTGCTGGAAGTCGAAGACGAAGATTCCGGTCGGCGCTGCCGGCGAGGCATGGAGGCGAGCGTCGTATGGTTTGTATGGTGACCACGACTCCTAATGTATCACATGAAAAAATGATTAGGGTGCCCTAAAAATTGATCCATGTGTGTTGGTAAAAAACTTATTGAGGTATTTTGAAGTAAAAGTCAGTGTGGGCTTCGCGCTCGTTTGGGGCAGCTTAAAATAACGATAACATTTTTAAAATGTCGCTCTGTTGTTTGTTTCGTGCATTGATACCGCAAATGTGAAAACGGAGGTTCGCCTGTTATAATAAACGCGGGGCCACGGGATCGACCCCGCGGTCGGCGTCTTTCCTCTGTGTTTCTTGTTTATTTCCTCTTGTACCCTCCGTCTTCTCCCTTGCCTCTCCCTTCTGATCACTGCTTTCACCTGCATGTCGATCGAAGCTTCTCAGCCCAAAAAGTGCGGCGGAAATTCGTTGCCAAGGACTTGCTCTTGAGCTAGATGAGGAGTCGAAGTCATGCATCTACTCCCGTTGCCTGACAATGTCCCTGTGGCAGAACAACATAAGCACGGACTCTGGTGTTGGGATGGCAAAGATGCGAAGATGATTGTGCATTTAAGTTGAGATGAGGTAAGATTGGTTTACTAATTTGAACTGTGCAACTATCTACAGATCGCCTCAACTCTTTGCACTACTTACATTTCTAACAACATAGCCTAACCATTCGGTCGCCTACTGAAGATTCCTTTTTTTTTTTTTTGTTCTTTTTATGGTTAGGTTGTGTCAAAGTATTTCCTGTGAACTATTACCGAACCCCTGAATTGGGTTAAATTGAAATGCAGTCTTTCTGAAACAACACGCTCTAATTAAATTTAAAGTGTTTCATGTGAATTATTTTATTGTCGTTACAATCCTCCTTCATCCTAAGTATCAATTTACTCTATAACACCCTCTAATTAATCAGTAGCTCAAGTTTATTGAAGCTTCATTTTTGTATGACTCTACTTTTTCCATTTCATTTTACCATTTGACAAAATCTTCAAAAAATATTGTTTTTTCAAAGCTTTTGGATTCACCAACATCAACAATCAATAAATTAGTATAAGGAAAGATTTATGAATTGGCTTAAATATTGTTTGTGATCTTTTGACTCTATGTGCATGCTCAACTTTGTTTATCTCAAAATTTTCAGTAGTCTATGGGTCGTCTTGCCCATTTTCATTGAAAACTCTCAAGCTTTATCTGTTCATTTATGGAGGCTCATTTTCTTATATATTTAAGACCATCTGTTTTGATATCAAATTCATTGAATATAGTATTTTAATATTTAATATCAGATTCATTTATGGAGGCCGATTTTGAACAGCAACACAACACATGTCAGAATGGTCTTTTATCCATAAAAAACTACAAATCGGTTGTTTTCCAAACTCACAAATTAAACAACTAAATAATTTATCCAAAACAAGAGCAGAATGATTATTTATCTAGAATCAGTTGTTTCTGAAATACACATACCAAACAACTAGTCAGTTTATCAGGATAAGCTCCTGATTAGCAAATTATCAGAATAAGCTACTTATTTGGATAAGTTGAAGCTGCTCCAAACAGACTCTTAATGTTTGACCTCCAATGTTGCAATCACATACACACAAGATATGTGATAATTTGTGGCTTATTGCATATGCATGAACAGTTCTCCAAAGAAAAAAAATGTCAACTTGAATTTCCCTGCAAGTCATATCGAATATCTAACATTGAAGTTTATGCAGGTCGGTTGGGGAAACTGACGGACCTCGTACTCAATTCCTCGTAGAATAGCTCTTTTGTGTTGGACAAAATTAGAACTCTCATCATTGATCCGTTGTGGCACATTGTTGAATCATTTTAAGAATAAGGCAACCAAATTATAATATATAGTACGTATGAGGCCTTAAATTGGGATTCCTCATGCACGATTTAGAACCCCGTTGAAACATTCACATGTGCATGTTGTCATTGTGTCAAATCGAGATCCACCAATTGTAGCCCATTTGTGATAACTTTCTCAATCAACTAATTGTAGGCCTCCTTTATTTGTTTAATGTCGTTCATGTTCCTATTAAAGATGATGACTTCGGGTCTGTTTGAGAGCAATTCTTTCTCGCGGTTCGGCGTTGCCCGGCGAATCTCCCCCATTTGGGGCGGTGATTTGACCGCGGCAGCCCCGACGCGCAGTAGAAAGCTGCAGTCAGATCCCTCCAGCGGTCCGCCTGTACTGCCAGCTTTCTTATTTACTTTTACGCGTATGCCCCTCCTGCCGCAGTTCGCAAAAGGAGGTCGACGTACCCGCGAGTCCGACTTCCGATAACGCCGGCGACCAGCCTAGGAACGGGTGGCGCGATAAGTAGGAAGAACCCCTCAAAGCCATGGAGGAGGAAAAGGAAGGCCCGCAACAGTCGATGCGCTTGCTCCCGCCATTGCTGATCTGCGGTGTGTGGGTAACCTTAGGTCATCAGTCGCCGAAGAACTCAAATTGCTTCACTCCATAGCTCTGGCGTCGGCCGAGGTGGTGGCGGAGAGATTCTAGCGGTGGAGGAGGATGAGGCAGCCTGATTTGCTAACGTGAGGAAGAAGGAATTCAAGCAATTGGAGAGATTGCTGATCTGCAGAAAATTTGTTTACAGATAAATTTTGGTATGTCCTGTAAGGCATTTGTAAGCGTGCAGATTTGTAGGAGATCATATTTAGATAACAACAACTGTGCTACTATTTTCTTATTTTATTGTTTTTTTTTTTTCTTCTTCTTTTATGTTGCTGCTGATCAACATTTTGGTATGTAAATATATAAGAACTTTTGTGCTATATATACTTTTGTGATATATTGTAAATATCAAGATTTGAGTGATATACCACCCAACACTTACATATTTGATCAGAAGTACTAATATTTTAACTATTAAAAAGTGAAATACATCATTTCACATATGAGTAAGGTGTATATATGTATGTATGTATGTATGCATCGAAGTATTGATGCTATATATGTAAATACTTCAGAATTGAATGTTATATATGTAAATATATATATATTTTTTATATAGATGAGGGTTGGGGTGCATTTAGATACATACCGCTCAAGTCCTATGGATTTTTATATTTCACTAAACAGAGACAAAATTGTTATTTTTCTATAAACAACTGTCTCACAGTTTTTTTCACACATCTGCAACAAACAGACAGCCAGCTTCCCAATAGCAGATTCCTGGGGCAGCGCAGCTGTAGCTGAAAAGTTGAGAAGTTGCAGCTACGTCAAACAGAATCTTCATCAGTATTACCCGCCCAATAAATTTTGTCACATATACTATCGACATCCTCTATTATAAGATATCTTAATGCCTTCTAAAGTTTTCTCGTAGATGACACAAGTATTGTCGATGTGTAGCCCGTGGGAAAATCTCTCTGCGATCGCGAACCAAAGCTGCATGTTTGTCCGATATAATACATAGATCTCAACGGATCTCGCCATCAAAACATATCAACAAGCGTGACATGTCCGAACTCATAGTTAAAAACTATCCGATCAAATAATTAATTTCATCAAAGAGTAAGAGCTAAAATTTACTTTTGCAAGGCTAAAATTTCAACTATAACAATAGAAATTACTAATATTAAAATGCCAACAACAATAAAATATTTCAGCTTAGTCTAAATAGTTTAAGGATTTCAGAAAATTAATCATTTTAAATTGTTGCAAATATATAAGATCCATATAGGTCATTGTTACACTAGACAAATCGAGGTATTTTGTAATCTCCTTCAGATCAGTTGTCCTGCGTCGTCGGGTTTCCAAGCTTTATATATACTAATGCAAAATTAATATTTTAATTGACATTTACTTGAACATAATTAAAATTACTTCTTTTATAACGACAAAAATTTAGAGCAACAAAATATGAAATGATAATTGTTCTAGTATATGCAATGAAAAAAATGCATTCGTAGCTATAAGAACTTCTAGGTGATGAGGGCGGTACAAATACCACTTACGTCCTCAGCTCTCATTAAGTTGTTCACGTCTTTTTGACAAAGTTCTTTATAGTTTCAAAAACACTATAATTAATGTATATATAGTCTTAGCCTAAAGAAAATTCTATTGTGTTCTCGTAATAAAAAGTATTACACAATAAAAGTAAATGTAAATAAACAACAATGAGCTTTAAATTAAATTTATATAAAACTAAATTGTCCGTACATTGCTAACAATGAAGTGCAAGACAAGAACCTGACGATTCGAGCATCATTTTAACATGACACAAATAACTTAAAATATTTTCAGACAATATTTCAGCATGTAATTAACAATTTATATAAAAAATATGAAAAAATGAAATATTTCAACTAATCAAAATAATTTAAAGAATTTAGAAAATTTATAATTTTAAAATGTTTAAAGTTTTATAAGATCTATATAAGTCATTGTTACGCCACACAATCAATTTACTATTTCAAACTCAAACGGACTAGTAGTCACGTGCTACGCCTAAAAATAAATTATTTTTCATGTTTCATTTTATAATTATAATGATACTACACTTTAAATTAATGTCTTCTTTTGTTTTTTGTTGTAGGTACATCAAATTGAAGAATTTGGAGTGATTAGAGCAAAAAGAACAAAAGTGGACCAAAACGGAGCAAACTGGAGCAAATTGGGTCGAGTCGGGGCTCACTTGAGCCAAGGGGACCTAAATCGGACACTTAAGCGCCTGTGCCCAGTGTTTAAGTGCCCAAATATGGCGCTTAGGCACCACCTGACAGAGAAGGGGGCGCTTAAGCTCCAAAAAACGGCGCTTAGGCTCCAAAGACGGTTTTCAACATATCTTCTAGAATATACATCGATTTGGACGATTTTTGAAGCAGTGCTTTGTGCATCTCTTGAGGAATTCGTTGGAAATGATAAAATGGACTTTCTAGAAGAGATTTTGGGTGGTTATATGGAGTTTTGAAGAGGCAATTCATGCACCATTTGGAAGATTCATTGAATCTGAACATTTTTTAAGAGACACTTAAGCATCTATTGGGAAATTATAAAAAATGGCTTGGAAATATTTTTAAAATATCTCTTGGACTTTGGAACTAATTAGAAGAAGAGACAAAGACTTGGAGAAGAAGATGAGAAGAGGAGGAAGGCTTGGGCGTGAGCCCGAAGTGGGGTGTAAGGTGAGAGAGAAAGAGAGCGTGTGAGAATTTCTGTTTTTCTTTTCACTTTGTTCTTGGAGAGGATTGTAAGGAGATTGTTTTTACTATGCTATACAAGAGAGTTTGATTTTCATAAAAGATAAGTTTTTTCATTGTATTTTAATTTGAATATAGTACTTTGTTTGTATGGTTTCAAAGTATTGTTTAATGAAAATTTTTTGTTGTTTCTCAATGTGTAGTGAGTAGTTTTATTTACTCTTCCCTCTTGTAATGAATTAATATGTATGTGTAAGATATATAATTGAGTAGAGTGAGAATATATTGTGATATTTTTACTTTGTTATTCATTTACATGTAAACTTGATCAACTTACATGTTAAAATATGTTGTGAGAACATGTAAGATCCGGGATAGTATTGTCTCAATCAACAGTGGTAGAATCACATGAGATTATAAGGATGAGAATGTAGTTCATATTTTTTAGTGCAAATAAATAGGAAAATAATATTTAATGGGTGTAAAATTAGAGGACTTTAAAATTAGAGGACTTTATAGTGACAGACTAAAGCCCCCAATTTGATTTATAGTTTTAATTTGGTCTATCGTTTTATGTTTTGATGCGAGATGTTAGCCTTTAGGTGGAGGGATAAGAGGGAACTCTAGAGTGAGAGCTAGTATCTTCTCTGCCTAGTCCATTTTCAGAACTATTCAAACTTTAGATTAACCAATGTTCTTTATAGTATCTCTAGTAAGGGTAAATAATATAATTGCTCCTATTTGTCACAATCTCTCCTACTACTTATTTTACTTTTACACATGTCACTATTTTCATTGTATGAGAAAAAGTACTTTTAATATATTAAACCTCACTTTCTGATCACTTTCTGATTATTAAACCTCACTTTCTGATTTTCACTGAGTATTTTAGTTTAGGATTAAAAGTAGTATTGTAGTGATAATTGTAGGATATAATCAAAATCAAACCTTTATCGACCTTCCAAGCCAGGGCGTGTTATTCTAAACTAGAACTTATCTTGAAAGCTGCCGTGATTAACCTCGATCTCCGTGGAATCAATATTCGGGACTTAATCAGAAAGCTCTATATTACTTGATAATGATACGTATACTTGCGTAGAATCCCTACAAACATAATTGAAATCTTACTTTGCTTGAGATCAAGTTTTTGGTGCTATTACCGGGAATTAAAATCTTCAAGTAGTGGTGTCAACTTCATAAATTCTTATATAAAAAAAATATTGGGATCACCACACGTCGTCGGGTTTTCAAGCTTTATATAGACTCATACAATATTAACATTTTAAATGATATTTACTTGAATATAATTAAAAATACTTCACTTATAATGACTAAAAATAAGCTGCAAAATATGAAGTGATATTTGTTATGATATGTGCAATAAAAAAAAAATGCATTCGTAGCTATAAGAATTTTTAGGTGAGGAGAAAGGGTACAAAGACCGCTTACGCTCTCAAGCTCTCTTTAAGTAATTTTGTCTATTTTGACAAAATTCTTTACAACTTCAAAAACTCTATATTTCACGTACATATAGCCTTAGTCTAAGAATAATCCTATTGTGTTTTCTTAGAAGAAGTATTGCGAGATAAAAATAAACATTAATAAACAATATTAAGCTTTAAATTAATTTTATATAAAACTAAATTGTTTTCACCATATTGACAATGAAGTGCAAGACAATATTCAGACAATTCAGGCAGCATCTTAACATGGCGTAAATAATTTCAAATATTTTTGGACAATATTTCGACACATAATTAACAATTCATAAGAAAAACATCAGCAACAATAAAATATTTCAACATAGTCAGAATGATTTAAAGAATTTAGAAATTTATTAATTTTAAAATTTTAAAAACTTATAAGATCTATATAGACCACTGTTACACCAGACAATCGATATATTATTTTAACCTCCTTCGGAGCAGTTGCTCTGTGCGGTCGGGTTTTCAAGCTTCATATAGACTCATATAATATTAACATTTTAATTGACATTTACTTGAATATAATTAAAATTAATTCACTTATAACTACAAAAAAATAAGAATTGTAGAATATGAAGTGCTAATTGTTTTTGTATGTGCAATGAAAAAAAAAAAAATTCTCAGCTACAAGAACTTCCAGATGAAGAAGGGGGCATAAGGACTGTTTACATTCCAAACTCTTCTTAGACAACTTAGACATTTTCGACAAAAGTTTTTTTTTTTGGCTTCAAAAACAATATATTTCATGTACATATGATCTTAACCCAAGGATAGTTCTAGCGTGTTCTCGCAATAAAAAGTATTGCACAATAAAGATAAGCACTAATAAACATAATTCTAGCTTTAAATTAATTTTATATAAAACAAAATTGTTTATACATTGATAATCATTAAATGCAAAACAAGATATTGATGATTTAAACAACAATTTGACACGGTGGAAATAATTTATAATAATCATGGGCAGCATTTCAAAATTTCATTAATAATTCAAATATATTACAGATAAAATTTTCACATAGCCAAAATAATTTAAAAAAATAAAAAATATACGGGCATCATAACAACGTGGGATAAAAATTTATTAAAAAAATTAGTAGAATTTCACCATATCGTACATAATTTAAAAATGTAACGATTAATACAACAACGTAATACTAAAAATGAATGACCTAGACTAAAAAATATTAAAAATATAGACAACAATTTAGTATTTCGTAAATGAAAAAAACGGAGCATCATGACAGTACTAAATGTGAAAAAAATACATAAGAAAAAAACTAAATTAATATAATAACTACTTTTAAAAAGTTTAGGAATATTATTACCTAAGAAAAACTAAGGGTGCGTTTGAGACAGCTTGTGCGTTTCAAGATAAACTGCTTATCCTGAAAAACGGCCCGCGACCTGCGTTTAGTGTAAAAATTCAAACGCGTTTTCAGGTAAGCTAGCAAAACGCGCGAACCAAATGGTACGACGATATTTTAAAAACACTGCTCATATTTATAAGCGGCCCCAAATGGGCCATAAGAGAATTAGATGTAAAAGAGGAGTGATTTTTATAATAATTTGATTTATTAAGTGATAATTTGGCTCTGTCAAAATTAGTCCTAAACATCCATAAGTCTCTCCGCGAGACATTTCACAGCTTGTCACTATAAAAGCATTTCAAAGCTGTTCCAAAACCTAATCCTCCGTCCCCTGCTTCGACCTCCCGCCGCTATATTGATTTTCGTCGCCCTCGGCGGCAGAAGCCGCTTCTCTTAGCCGGAAAGATGCAGATCTTCGTAAAAACCCTAACGGGGAAGACGATCACCCTGGAGGTGGAGTCATCCGACACCATTGACAACGTTAAGGCCAAGATCCAGGACAAGGAAGGCATTCCACCGGACCAGCAACGCCTTATCTTCGCCGGAAAGCAGCTCGAGGATGGACGCACTCTAGCTGACTATAATATCCAGAAGGAGTCGACCCTCCACCTCGTCCTTCGCCTTCGAGGTGGCGCCAAGAAGCGTAAGAAGAAGACATACACCAAGCCGAAGAAGATTAAGCACAAAAAGAAGAAGGTAAAGCTCCCTGTGCTACAATTTTACAAGGTCGATGACTCTGGTAAAATGGTCCGTCTCAGAAAGGAATGCCCGAACGGCGAGTGCGGTGCTGGGACGTTCATGGCGAATCACTTCGATCGCCACTACTGCGGCAAGTGTGGGCTCACTTACGTCTACCAGAAGGCTCAAGGTGAGTGAAAGATGCAGTGATGACCGCTGAGGGGGATGTTTCTTGTTGATTTCTGCTATTTGTTTGGTAATATAGCTTGCTTTTAGTCTAATTGATTTTGTCAAATTTTATGATGAGAACATGTTACTTTGCTAGACGCAATCGCTTATCTGGATTTATTGAGCTATAAAGGTTTTGTTTTGGACTGTATTATTCAAGAACTTTTAATCTGATTTTGATTTCTCCTTTTAATCATTTAGGCATTGTTTTGATTGTTGATCTGCCTCTCACTAGCGAAATATTGCCCATTTTGTTGCTATTGCCAATGTTTTCATTTGCTTTTTTTGAATTTTTGTATGAAATAGCCATATTTTGAAATGTAGTTTTATAGAGATGAAGATGTTATATTACTTCAACATGGAAATTATAAAAAAATCGAATTTATCATGCATGCAATGAAATTACTTGTGAGAGCAATTCAACACAGCCAAAAAATTCTTGTTATTGTAATTTTGTCTGATTGAATTATATAAATTTCTACCTTGAAGTCAATCTATGTGCCAAAAAAAAAAGAAATAGAAATATTTAATGTGATTATTGATATGCGATAGACATAATTGAGTTTTAGGATGCATGTTTAGTTGGAAAGATACATATCTAAGTTATGTTGAAGTCAATGGTAATATGTAGATCTGATAATAGCATTATTTGTAGTTTTGAGGTGATCAAATATTTTTCAATTAAAGTTGGGCTAAATCAATTTATTTTTTGTAAATACTTGTGAATAAAGAGATCAAAGACAGTCATTCTTGTATTTATTATTTGGCTATGCATAATTTTGATTGATGATATTTAGTATAAAATGAGTAGTTTGAAGTATGGAGAAATTTTAATAGAGGAGCTTAAGATCACTAGAATTAAGGCTGAGTAATATGTATCGTGAAATTGATGAATTTTAATCCATATTATTGGAAGATTTAGTGATATTTAATAGTATTAGGTTTAAAAAAATTCAATTATTTGAATAATTGATTGTGGTGCGAAATGTGAATATAACTTATAGACAAGCTTTGATTATTACAATTTCTCAAGAGTTTTATGTATTAGGAGAATAACATGTCTATGTATAAGTAAATTTCATAAAATTGTAATCAGATCAACATATGATATAGATGTGCTTGATATCAACATAAAGTTTATTGTTTCTCATGCTATAAATGAGAGTATTAAGGTTGGCTCATACTGAAATTTGGAATGATAAAATATGCATTATCTTTTTGGGAAATTTACATATATATCAAACATATCTTATGTATTTACATTCGAATTTCCAAAGTTTGATAGTTGGACTTTTAGTACCTTGGTGCATAAACCTATGCATCAAAATGTGCATTTTACTTTTAAAACCGATTGGTAGTGGTATTTTTTGATGTTATGTTAAAGATTTGAGGGGTTGCGATAGGTAGTCGACAACCAATGTTAAACTTGAAGAAAAAATCATGGCATGAATTCAAATCATTAATTATATGTATACTAGTGCTGTTACTTGTGTCCGAACTGAAGGAGGATTGACCAAATATTTTCCTGTTTCTTTTGGATTACATCAGGGATTGAATTTAAGCCCATGTTTGTTTTGCTTTAGTTATGGATTGTCTTACTGGACATTACAGGAGGTTGCACCTTGGTGTATGCTTTTTGCTGATGAGGTCCTTCCTGTGGATAATACGAGAGAAAAAGCCCATAAAAAACTTGATTTATGGAGATCTACATTGGAGTCTAAAGGCCTTCATTTGAGTAAAACTAAAACTGAATACATGACATGTAATTTTAGTAGTAGTAGCTCTTGTGACAGAAGTATAACGTAGCTCTTTAGTAGTAGTAGCTCTTGTGACAGAAGTATAACTTTGGGCGATCAAAATATTAAAATGGGTGAACGATTTAAATATCTCTGCTATGTTGTTCAAATTGATGGTGATATTGATGGGGATGTTAATAGTAGAATTCAAGTTGGTTGGTTGAAGTGGAAGAATGCTTTAGGCCTTTTGTGTGATAGAAAAGTACCGCTTAAACTGAAAGGAAAATTTTATAAGATGGTGGTGAGACCTGCAATGCTCCATGGTGTTGAATGTTCATTAAAAGAGAAGCATAATACTAAGTTCAGTGTTGTCAAGATGAGAATGATTTGGTGGATGAGTGGTTTTACGCTTAGAGACAAAATGCGAAATGAATATATCCGTGATAGGGTTAGTGTAGCTCCGGTGACAAGCAAAATTAGAGAGAGTCGTCTTAGATGATTTGGTCACATTAAACGTCGACCATCTGATGATCCGATTGGAAGAGTAGATGTTTTAGATTCGACTTATGTTAAGAAAGGCAGAGGTAAAGCTAGGAAGACTTGGGCTTACTGTATAAAAAATGATCTTAATTTATTAGAGTTAAATGAAAATATGACACTAAATAAAACACAATGGAGAAAAAAAGGATTCATATAGCCGACCCAACGTCGTGGGATTATGGCTTTGTTGTTGTTCTTGTATGTTAAAGATTTGAGGGGTATGTATGTAAATATGAATGTTTAAGTGTTAAATATGTAAATACCTATGAAATTGTGTGGTATGCATGTAAACACCTCTATTTTTTATAGAAATGTAAGCGCATCTCTTGTTAAAGGAGTGGAAAATAAGAAGTTATGCATGCAGAATGCTGGGTAAATGAGTTATGCATTTCATTTTTGATAGATAGATCTTATTTGCAAATTAAAAAAAAAACATATGAATTTTGCATTTAGGATTATAATATAATGGTGTATGTTTGATTTTGCATTTTAGAAAATAATTTTGTGTTGAATAAATTGCTAATTTAAGAAGTTAAAGGATATTTTGTCATTGTGGAGTCTATGGGTTTTCTGAACCAATTGTGAGCTATGAATCACTGTACACGTTATCTCAGTTATGATAATGTGGCCACTGTTATGTAACTTTTATATTGAAGGAACTGCACATGTCAAGACATGATTTATAGGACAATCTGAATTAATGTGTAGTTACAAAAGCTACAAAATGTTTGATAATTTAATAATTGGAGGTTTTTTAACATTAGAATCTAATAAGGGGATACTTTAGGATGCATAATGCTATACATATTCTTTCATAAAAAAGTGTCGGTTTTTGGATTTATTATAGAAATGCTGAAAATAGACACTTCAGTAGCATTTTTCACCTTTATATTTCTGATAATTTAGATAATTTAGACTGTGTTTGAGAAAATTTTCACGCAGTTTTTCATTTCAGAAAAGTCATCTATTCATTTGGCAAGTTGTTTGGTTATGTTTTTTTTATTTTTATGTTTTTTATCATAATTAGTTGGATTGATTTTTGTGAGCCAATTTGTTTAATATTTGAAAGCACTAGCAAAGGTTTGTATAATCATGTTTGGCTTGGTATTGATTTCATTACACACACACACACACACACACACACACATTTGCTCGTAGGGGTGTAATTGAAGCGAGCTTGAGCGAGCCCAATGTTTGAAGTGAATAGCATTTTCGTGTTCGAAGTGGCTCTTGAATATTATATGCACGTTCTACTCGATTCAAATTCGTTTATACGTTTTAGTTCGTGTTTGGCTTAAAAGTTGCTCAAATTAGGGCCACAAACTAATCAGGATTAATCAAAATTGAATCAATGGAGCAGAGTCTCTAGCTTCTCATTTGTAGATAAATGCTAATTTATTGAAATTTAATAAATCAGAATAACTTAGTTAAATTTTGAAAATTAATTTTTTTTATTTTTCATCCCGAGTAAAAATATCCAACATCTCCAAGTGTCACAACCACGGGCCCGCATGCAACTCAGAGATTTCAAACCAACTTCCTTATAATTTTACATTTAAATAACACTCATAAAGCATTTTTTTCTGAAGTGGCACTAAATGCCTTAAGGTTGGACCCTGGGAACACACAAGATCACCCAATTCCGGAATAGCTTTGCAAAAGGAAAATTCTAGGGGCATCTACATTCATACCACCGAATCATTATGCATTTATATATATGTCTGAACACCTAAATTTTGTTTCATGCATTCATACAAACCACATGTTTGATATCATATTAAATATACTACTAGTTTAGCTTTTAAAATCTCAGATGCACCTTTATCAGAAATTTAATATATAAATATTTTAATACATTATTTAATTAGTTTTGGCCAAGATGAGCTTAAACTTTATTGAACAAAAGTTTGTTCGTGTTTGGCCCGTTTATAAATCCAGCTAAATAAATTTGTTCATATTTGATTATTTTGTTTAGCTAATGAATTTACCACGAGCTAGCTGAACAAAAGGGAATGATGTATGTTGTTTTTTATATGATTTTCAAAGAGATTTCATGCTAGAACTTGTTAATGTTGAGCGTAAAATATCTAAGGGGCAATTGCATGAATGTTATTTATATATTTAACATGTAAATTCTGTTTTTTACACTTATACAACATTATCAAATTGAGCTATAAAGGTTTTGTTTTGGACTATATTATTCAAGCACCGTTGAGCTGATTTTGGTTTCTCCCTTTAATCATTTAGGCATTGTTTTGATTTTTGATCTGCATCTCACTAGTGAAATATTGTCCATTTTGTTTGTATTTTTCAAATTGAATTTTGTAGAAATGAATGTATTCGTGATAGGGTTGGTGTAGCTCCTGACTGTCAAAATTAGAGAAAGTTGTCTTAGATGGTTTGGTCACATTAAACGTCGACCATTTGATGATCCAATTAGGAGATTAGATGTTTTAGATTCGAATTATGTTAAGAAAGGCAGAGGTAGATCTAAGACTTGGGCTTATTATATAAAAAATGATCTTAATTGATTAGAACTAAATGAAACTATGACACTAAATAAGACGCAATGGAGCAAAAGGATCCATGTAGCCGACCCCACGTAGTGGGATTAAGGCTTTGTTGCTGCTCTTGTTGTTGAATTTTGTATGAAATAGCCATCTTTTGAAATGTTGTTTTATGGAGATGAAGATGTGAGATGAAGATGTGTTGTTGTTGAATTTTGTATGAAATAGCCATCTTTTGAAATGTTGTTTTATGGAGATGAAGATGTTATATTACTTCTACTTGGAAACTATCATGGAATCAAATATATTGTATATACAACGAAATTATCTGAGGGCAATTCAACACTGACAAAAAGTTCTTGTTTTCCTAA